CTAATATAATAAACCAGTTGCGTGCACTAAGTTGCAATTGTATGCATAACCATGTATAAGATATTGCACTTGCCGGACATGCTTGTTAATTAACCAGAACAACTGCTTGCACAAGTTCTAAACCCAAGGAGAATTTACAGCTAATAGTCACTGGACATGAACATAACTTGTTCGAGTCATATACTATATATAACTGCTTTTTATACATTCTTAATATGTGTTTCTTGGATTAAAATTTAGGGAAAGAATATTTTATTGTGTGTCAAGAAAGTTCTTCTGGAGTGTAGATGACAATGGAGTTTCTAAATGTTACTAAAAATGAACTCTGAAGATATGATTTTTGGATTTTAAAAAAAAAATATAATGGATACAATATAACTGGAATATGTTTTAATCTAGACGCTTCACTGCCACTGCATGATGCCATTTTTAACGTTAATAATAATTCATTATCCTGCGGTTTATCCTTTGACTTTATGACTTAAAATGAGATGCACTTGTAATGTGCTTGTGAGACTTAAAAGATTTGTTAATTGAAGCAAGTACTGTTAGTAATAATACAATGTCAAAGCCACCACCCTGTGTCCGCTGTCTTCTAATGTGTGTCCCTGCTGCCTACACCACTTGACCTTGCTATGTTATCTACTTAATATCTTGATGCCAGTGTTTGATACGTGTATTATCTTTAGATCAGGCTTCCATAGTTTCATTTTAGATTATTATGTGCGTTCACTTTCAGTAATGAATTGGCTAAGTGATGAGACATGGATTCTGAAATCTGCGGTTGTGCCCTTGTCTTGAATGTCATTGGTACTTCTCAGTTGGAGACTTGTAGATTTATTGTGAATCTAGCCTCTTTTACTTTTGTATGCTTTGGCTGTCATAACTAATGTACATGAATTGCTCACAGCATCCCTGGTCGTTGCGAGGCATTTTGGAAGGAGCTTGATCATGTCAAGCACTTATGGAAGAACAGACAAGAACTGAAGGTTGAAGATGTAAGCATTGCTGCTTTGTTTGGCCTGGAGTGCTTTGCTTGGTTTTGTGCCGGTGAAATTGTGGGAAGGGGATTCACTTTTACGGGTTACTACGTTTGAGAATAAGCACCGCAAAATTTACTTGGAGGTTCTGTCGAGGAAAAAGAAAACGTGGGGAAGGGGGTTTCTCAAACTCGTTAGCGATCTGCTCTGGCCATTTATACTTGTGTGCATGATGGTGCCTTCTACAAGCCAATTTTTGTTTTTTTCCCCTGAAATTTGATCTTAGATTAACGAAAGTGACAAAACTGGTGCTGAACTTTGATAAGCCTTAATAAGCCCATGTATTTGAAGCGGGATTCGCCTTGCGTTGTTTTGCCATTAGTTGGAAGGTGGTGTTGATCTCCCTTTCTCATGAATTCGCGCAAATCAAACTTGGATTAACTTATAAATAAACCCAGCTTAGCGTTAAATTCATCGTTTGATTTTGATATTTTGGGCCATGATGGATTTCATTGTTAATGATGAAAAATTCCTGAGTACATTACTTTCGCCAACGACTAGTGCGCTGATGGCCCAAAATAGTGTTCTCTGTAGGATTTTTGGTTGGATGAGTATATTCCTAGATTTTACGCGAAATTATGTTCGTTTTGAATTATTACTTTTTAAAATTATAAATAATGAATTATGATAATAATTTTCTTTCTTATTTTTCCAATTCAAAGCATTTCTTTTCAAATTCTGAACTTATAATATGAATAGTTGATTGAAAAATGAAATGTAGTTTTCCTTTTCCATTGCAACTTGAACATCTGTGAATCTCATATTTGCAATTTGTGAACTTATGGCAGCAACATTTTCACACGGCTTACTACATACAAGGCCTTCGTGGATGCCCCGAATAGGAATGCAAGTGGATTTAGCGGCCAGCTCGAGCTCTTATAAGTTCCATGTTTTTGCGGATCAAACTGGATAAGTTCGTTTCACATATGGGCTTAGAAAGTAAGTTATGAAACTATCTGTTCTTAGCCCAAGTGAAACCGTAATATAAGGCCCTATCATTATTTGCTCTTCTTCTTTTGAAATTACAAGGCGAGCAAAGTTTGAAATGTAAATTAAGGTTTGAATTTCTATTAAAAGAATATTTATTTACTACTCGACAATATCTTAGATAAGATTGTCTTCAGTAGGTTCGGTAACCAAAAAAAAGTTTGGAATGAAATTAAAATGCAAAACCAATAGAAGTTGGGTCTAATAGATGAAACTAATTCTCATGAATGTGGTTAATGAATTTTCAAATTTCCATTGAGTAAGGCCTTTCATCCTTGCAACTTGCAACTTGCAATTGCTTGCTTCTTAGAGGCTTGTATGTTGTCAGGATTGAGCTTTTTTTGCCAACTCTTCTATTCTTTTTAGCCTTAATGGGGGGGTTGAATGCTTAGGCCTCCTTTTATCTTTGGATATAAGAGATGAAATTGGCTAGTTGGTCAAAGAAATCCTATAGATTGAGGCAACTTACACTCCTTCTCCATCAGTGCTCTGGAATCTTCTATAAGCCTTTAGATAACTCTTAACCTCGTTCTTCAGCTATTTCCATCCCAAGGTCACGAGTCATCCTAATCTCCCCCACCTATTCCAATGAGGCCCTCATCACTGCTTCATCTTGATAGCAGCATAGGTGGTCATCAAACAGCAAAGATCCTCTTGTGCACTTCTATCCTTCTATATGGGGTTACCAAGAAGAGGGAGCAAAGTATCTGAAGTGCTTAGTAGAAGGTCTAGGTATAGACAAGAGGTCTTGTGGGAATTCTAGAAGTGTGAAGGTTCGAATCCTATATGTAGATCTTTCTTAATTAACTTCTGCCATTAAGGCAATTCAATTCTATCAATAGGTAAGATATCCCCAAAGAGGGTTGTTGCCAATATTGGAAACTAGAGAAGTTCAAAGAGAAGGTTGTATTTTCCTTCAAATGATTAGATAGGCAAATGGAAGCAAGGGCTGGCTAGCTCACGAAGTCAATATCTCATAAGAAACTGTATCATAAGAACAAGTGCACCAAAGGATTTACAAGTAGAAGTCAATAGTTGTCTTAAATTTAAAATATTGCATAAGAGAGAGAGATTTATAGCCATTCTCTTTAGCGGCTGATACAAGAATTTTATGTCAAAAGGAGCAACCAATGAGGATGAAGAAGGAGCAAGAGGAAGAGTAGGAGCTAGCTTTAGTAGGGACCACAGCAAAGAAATTTTGAATTCATGCCATGATGATCTATATGGAAGGGCAATTTTGTTGATGCTTTTGAATTCCACTTTCGGACATGATAGAATGAAGATGAGATTGAATACGTGAGGTTATCCTTTCAACCAACCTTACCCAAGGAAAGAAACCCCTATTTTGGAATTCCCCTTTCTTAGTTAGGGATTGCGGTGGCCTTGGAAGTGGAAAGGCCAATAACTCAATTAACACATCTTGCAAATTGGGATCTTAGGTTTCCATTAGCTATGAAAGAACCATAATCTTTTGAGCTGAAGTCTGGAAAGAATTCAAAGGTATGGCCACTAGTAGTAGCAAAAGAGAATCAAAAGGTTCCAAAAAAAGATTGTTTTGGATTGACTTCTTTTTAAGATACGAAAGCACAGAATAGAAAAGAAGTACTTGCGTTCGGTGCCTAACGTTACCTTGAAGAAGATTGCTTTCATAAGTGAATATTGGTGGGAAACAAAATAATAATAATATAAGATGCAAATAAAACCGCATGAAAAGCCCTATAATTGTATTATGAGACTTATCTCTTTAGACAGTTTCAGTTTTTGTAGGTTCAAAAAAAAAAGGAGGATATGGAGTCGAGATGCACTTGAAGATTTGATATAATAAAAATTATATATATATATATATATATGAGCAATAAAAATTTTGTATGTATGTATATGCGCCAAATCAATGTATCCTTTAGTCGAACTTGGATTTTCTCTGGCACAAAAAAAAAGGGAAAATTAGAGGGAGGGAAATAATACTACTAAAATTTATTATAACAGACCGTAGAAATTAAAATTATGATAAAAAGATCAATGTAAGTGTAATTGACTAGTATAACCTTAATATAAAATCTGTCAGCCTTAAAATTAACTTGGGCTACTGTCCAATTTACAAAAATATTATTTTAAAAATAAGGTTGTGCAGTTTTTTAATTTCACACAAAAAAAGTAAAAAATAGTATTAAATTTTATTAAAAATATAATTTAAAAATTTTAAATTTAAATAATCCAATGAATATAATTTTTTTAAAAAATCTTAATTTTTAAAATCAAATCAATATCATTTATTAAAAAAATCTTTACTTTAAAGAATTGTTCAATTTTGCTAAGAACACTGTCTCCATTCTAAATTCGTGAATTTTTAAGAAAGATAAGATTATTAACTTGCTATAGGTTATTGGGCATCAATTTAATTAGCTTTGTCTTTGTTTCCTTTTTTCATATCCTTGTCATATAAAAATAGCTTCCTCTCAAATAATGTGTTTCTGTTAGTGATCATCAAATTTAGCGTACGAGATGTGGTTAAAAAAGAAATGTAAGAAACATGATTATGGCAATATAGCACTTTTGAATTTATGTTTTAATATTTAATCATTCTAAATAATAACTATTTTTAATATTTTTATAATAAATATTATTTTTTTTCAGGTCACTATTTATAATTTTTTTTTAAATATAGGATAAAACCAAATAAATAACTTAACATTTATTATATTTTATATTTTTTTCATTTTATTTTATATTTTATTATATATTATTGTATATAATTGATAAACACTTTTTAAATTTTTTATTTTTAATTATAAAATTTTTGTATATTAATAATAAACTTATTGTGTATTAATGTGAACGGACTATATTTTTAAATTTTTAAAAAGTTAATTTATATTTTCTGAGTATAAAATATTTTTAGATCAGTGGGCTGATTTATCCCAAAAGTTGGATCTTCTATTTCCGATTCGTTTTTCGCTCGTGGGCTGCATGCTGCTGTTCTATTGTACCGGAGGGAGGATGCTACGAGAACGGATCACCGTCCACTTTATATCGTTCCGTTAATCAGGGGGGTGTTTCCGTCCTTTCGCAATGGCCTGCCTCTGCTAGCATAATAGATCATCCGGCAGGAGGAGAATTCGACGACGGCCCCGTCTGGGTTCTCTGAAAAAGATCGACGATGTTGTGCCTTAGCACTTCGCGCGCTTTCGCGGCATTCGTCGTTGTTTTCGTATTTCTCTCGGTCGTCGCCGAGTGCGCCCCCGATTCCAAACCCCCTCCTGTACGTCCTCTATTTCATCCCATGAGATTGACAATCCCACCTTGCTCCCCCTTCATCTTCATAATCCGTTTTTCTTTCTTCTTATAAGAATCCATCATCTGTTTTGATAAACATGAAAATTGTCACCGTTTGCGTGTTCCGAATTACAGGTCAATTGCAGCAGGCAATGCGTTGCAGAGCGATGCGATAGTAAGACAAAGCTACAAGAATTTTCTATACTTGCAGTCTCTTGCTGTGTTATTTTCCCATCATTAATGGATAGACTTGGTTGTTTCTGAAATTATGTAGATGTGTTAATCAATTACGGAAAATATTGCGGAGCCGGGTATACGGGCTGTCCCGGCGAGGCGCCGTGCGATGATCTTGATGCATGTTGCAAGAATCATGACGATTGCGTTGACAAATTTGGTATTTATCTCTTTTATCATTTTGTTTTGACTATTACCGATCCTCATCTGCAACTAATAAAATCATGCAACGAGACTTTTTAAAATTCTTTAAAGTAGTACACATGTTGCACGGGGTTTTAACTAATGGAGGGTCAGCAATTGATATAGACATGTCACAGTTCATACGTTATGATTCCAATCTATTTGAGATTACGCATGTCTTTCTATATTCTGTACCGACAAGGTGAAGTGAAGATTCTCCATTTAGCCCTTTGGGAAAGCGGATTCAGTCCTTTATCGTTCTGAGGATCGCAGCATATCGTTCATTGATGTTTAATTTTACTGAACTAATGATTACTTCGATGAGATTCTAGCAGTTATCATCCTCCACATATCAGTACGTATTTTCTGTTATTCTGCATCCATCGAACTCAGAAAAGTGCTTGTGATCAATGATCATTTAGGATTTCTTTCTTTAATTTCATTATATTTTATATTTAAAGGGTATTGTCTTATGAATTTTGATTTGAGATTACGGCTTTACAAGATTAATTGCTAACTAAATAAGACATGCATTTTCAGGTATGCTTCACATGAAATGCCACAAGAGGTTAAGGAATTGCCTTGCGAGAGTGCACAAATCTGGGAAGCCCGGATTTTCCAGTGCATGTCCTGTCAGTACAGCTGCGCCAACCATGATAAAGGGCATAGATTTGGCCATCTTACTGGGCCAACTGGGTGATAAAAAGGCCTATTGAAGTGTACCTCACAAAACTTAAACCCTCTTTATATATCCCACATCAATGAAAAATAATATGCTACTTTTTTCTTGGGCCGAAATATGCAACATCAATTCATCAATGAAGCTATTGATCTTTCGGTCATATTGAAAACAATCATATAATTTTTTTTTTAAATGGCGTGAGAGAGAGAGAGATTGGCAATTTGGCTTATTTATACCATCTTCTTAGTCTGTGATAAACTAACTTGTCAGTCATGAACTCTGCCGAGTCTTGTTACACGAATATGTTCCAGCAGGATTCTGTATCCTGCTGCCATTCTGTATCCATATCCAAATAGTTGAATTATACTTTGCCTATGGAGTTCAATATTAATTGGCTACTGACCAGCAAAAAGTGTTTTTGCTTACACTCTTAAAATAAAAGTTTGTGTGGCGTTCGATTTCCTGATCGCACGAACTTTACCTTTAACATTTTTTTTTTTGAAAAAAATGTGCGATTTTGCTTTCTATCAGAGAGATGACAATTGCCGGGGTTAGAATAAAAAACTTTTCACATTTATATCCAGATTGCGTGTGTGAACTACTTTTTAAGTTAGAATTTAAAAAAAAAGTACTTATTATATATAAAAAATAAAATATGAAAGTTTACCAATTATGGTTCGATAGATATTCTAATAAATACTGGTGCTTAGGCAAATTCTAAATTATTTCGAAAGTTCTGTGCATAATAAAGACCTAGCTAGTCTAATCTTGATAATACAAGGAAAAGGAGCGGGGAGTGCGCCTGGCAGCACGTTATTATACAAGCTGGCCAACAAACTTGTGTTATTTTACGGAATGTAATTAGCTGATTTTATGAAATAGGATTTAATTTGCATTTTTATATTTACTAAAAGACAACTATTAAAATATGAGTATATTGGAAATAATAGGAAAAAATGAAAGATTTTAGATTCCATGGCACGTAGAAGGTTTCTTTCAGTTCTTTCATACAAGGGTCCAAGAATTAAATCACTGAGTGAAAGAAAGGATGTTTGGAGACTGCTAAATTAATTGCAACGAAGTACAAGAATCCTAGTAAGACGATGGTATTAATAGAAGCTTCAATCTGCAAAATGGTATGAATTATTACCCTGCTTGGCTAACATTTATCGTCTGCCAGATTTAAACTCATTTTTGGAATAGAAATAGCTAGGAATGGTATATATGACTTGGCCAAAATGGAATATATGGCTTTATTGGTGGTGGTGATTTCCGTGGGGAAGGATTTTGTGTTTGAAAGAATCCATGCATGTAGGGTATGTAGGGTTTGAATATAAATTGTATGTGTTGCGGCAAAACTGCATTAAAGTTGGCGGTTTGAAGAATAAAAGCGAAGCCCAGCTGAGTCAACTCCAGAGGGAATTGACCAAATTTCTCGATCGAGTCAGGACACGAGCGGACTGCTAGATAGAATCTGGGTAATATTATTTCTACATCAGACAAATTAAATTCATAATATATATTCCATCACCAATATCATTGCATATATACTTGGAGGTGCCATCTAGAAAATATTCTATAACCTTGGACGCCTAAACATCAGAGCTTATTAGCCATGCCCTCCATGTCCTCCATCTCCATATGCAGTTTAAGTTGTGGCTTGTGACTTTGAACTCCATATGCATGGATTCCAAACAGGAAGCTCTCTATAAAGCTACTTGGATAAGAAAACTGAAATCTTATGTGCTTGTGCCAGTTTTATAATGAGCTCAGAAATGGGCTAAAGTAATATTCCAGCAACTAAAATAAACTAGTGCCATACGGGCTTTTATATACATTACTCATCTACATTTATTAATTAATAGTTGGCTACAAAATAAAGTAGAAACTGAACATGGGCATGCCTCTGTTTTTAAAATGATACTCCCTTTTATTCTTATTATTATAAGAAGTATTTTAGAATATTTTTTTTGAATCACAAGATAAGGAGTAATGTAATATTCTTTTGGGGAAAATCACGTCCAAATTCTGTGGAGCAAACTAATTTACAAATAAGTTCTGTAAAATTTAAAAAAATCATATTCAGATCCCTTGAGACCTAAAAAAATAATTTGAACTTTGGATGCAAAAAAATAATTCCCCTGTGAAAAGTACATTGCGTTAATAAAATAATTTACAACTATTAAATATATAAAGTTATAAATGTAAAAAGTTGAAATGATAGATGTAAATTACTAATAAAGTAATTGTAAATAATTAGTATTAAACTTTGAAAGCAACACACAATCAATTTAACTATAAAATATGTAAAATTATAGTTATAAATTAATGATGAGATAGTTATATATAAACTATTATTGTTAAATTTTGCCAACAATGCATAATTAGTTTAATTATTAAATATATAAAATCATAGTTGTAAAATGTTGAATTGATAATTATAAATTATTAATGAGATAGTTAAATATAATTAGTATTAAACTTGTAATGCATGATTAATTTAAATATTAAACATATAAAGTTACAGTTGTAAAATATTATACTATTGGAATATTATATTTTTTCACCTCAATTTTAAATTATACTCAAGTTTTAAAGGACTTGGATATAATTTTAAAATTTTATAGGACTTAGGTGTAAATAAATTTGTTATAAAGAATCTATATGTACATTTTCCTATTCTTTAATAGTCGGACATTTTTATCCCTAATCCTTTTTTGTTCCCGATAGATCCCTAATCCTATTAATGAGCGAGTCTTTTTCGAAATTGTGAAAAGAAGTGTATGCAATATTTTCAAGTGCGCTAAAGCTGGAGTCTTTGGATTTTTTTTGACTTTCAAGAATTCAGCAATATTTTCTTAGCATTCATGAAAACATTGAAAATACCTTATAATATGAAGAGAAAAAAGTATCTGATAATTTTAGTGATACTATCCGTTGCTAAAAGAAGGAAATGTTGATATGATCAATCCAAGTTACTCTATTTGTGAATCTTCTTCTACTCTTTTTTTGGCATTTAATGTAATAATTGCGATATTTAAGAATTTTTTAAAAATACATGATAAATATTTCTTCTGTTAAAAAATATAAAATATTTTTTGATGAGTTAAATATTAAAAAATATAAGACATTTTTAATTTTTTAAGGTGTAATCATTGCCTTTTTTTTAAGTACCCCTAGATAGTAACTTTATATTCATTATAGAGTGTTTAATATGGATAAATATGAAAAAATAAAATTAGTTTAAAAGAAGGTAATTATTTTATTAGGAGGTAAAATTCAATTAAAAATATCTTATATTTTTAAATGAAGGGAGTAATTTTTTTAGCAACAAGAGAGAAGTTGGTGCAAACTTGGAAAAATTTAAAATAAAATAATTAATTATTTTTGCTGGTATTTTGACTTAAATGTTAGTGAAATTCATAATATATGTTTATGCAATGATCTTGAAAATAATTATGATATTAAAATTAATAATAACATGTTTTGATGATATTTTTATTTTTTATAATTTTGAAATAATTTCAACACAAAGTTAGTGACTTGATGGAACCTACATTTGTTGCCTACTTGTTAGGCTTAAATTCTGAATTCTCATAGTGATGGAAGAGAAATTTTATTTTGCACTAGAAACTGAAATTACAAAAATACTCTTCTTAAAAAACGGGTGACGGAGCGCTCCCAATCCTTCGTGATTCTGTTCTTCCGTCATCAGCATGAGTGATTCTCCAACTGTTCTTCCTCCTCCATCATCCTCTATCTCCTATGTTCTTCCTTTTCTTTTTGCCAGCGAGTGTGTAAGCAGAGGATTTCAGTTTGTCGCCATTAAGCTCATGGATTCTTCTTCTTTCTCTGTCATATTCCGCAGCTAATTCCTCTAAACCTTCTTAAATCCCGTTGACGCTGCTGTTTGTGTGGGTGTGTGTACAGAGCTTCCATTATTCTTCCTTTGCATCGCACACCGTCCACCTTAGCAGGTCTTTGTTTGGCTCATTGGCATATCTTTTGTTCTAATTTTCTTGATTGGATTTTTTTCTCGGAGGAGTTACTCGTCTGTAATCTCTTGAAACAACGAATTATGTTTTGACTCGGTGGAATTAGTTTGGAAAATTTATTCGTTTTAAAATTTTCTAGTCTTGGTATCCCCAAATTTAATAGATCTGGGCAAATCTTCTTTCTTTTCTTGTTTTATTTTTGTTTTGTCTCCTTTTTCTAGAATTAGAACAATTCCTCTGCTCTGATTCTGGCTACTTATTCTTTGCTTCTCAGCCTAAGCAATTTCTTTTTTTTTTTTCCCTCTCCTCAGAATATGGGACTAAGCAATTTTCAACCTACAGGGTTGGGCGTAGGATCTCTCCCTTCCCTTTTCTCCTTTTTTTTCCCCCATTTCCTTGATCTTGACTGTGCATTTTGTGTGGATGTTATCTCACCATTCAAATTAAAATACTAGCTATAATATAATATTATTATTACGCAAACAATTTATCCTAAAAAAACCTGTTTTCGATTCGTGCATGAAAAAACGATTCTGAATTTTTTTTATTGAAATAAACGGTATCATTTAAAAAAACAAATGTTATTTCATTTTTTTTCAAACTATTCAGTTTAAAATTTTATTCTTGTATTTCAAAATAGAATTATTATAAATTTAATCATTATTTTTATCTTTATTGTATTATTTATAAATGAAAATATTAAAAATTGAGACATATTAATGTGAATATATAAGCATATTATTTATAAATTTTAAAAAAAATGTTCCTACCGAAAAATTTAAAACTTTTTCAGTGAGTAAAACTAATTTTTACATTTTTCAATTAATTTATAAATTTTTAAAACTGTTTCAGTGGGAAAAATATTAATGTGTATGTATATAAAAATATTATTTATAAATTTCAATCAATATGCCCCCTAAAATCAAAATGAAGCTTGCAAGTCGGTAAGTGGAAAATACAGGACCAAATGTCACCGGAAGAACATCGCATCAGAAAAATGTAAAAATTGGTATACTCAATACTCACTGAAACAGTTTTTGATTTCTTTTGGTTGGAACAGTTTTGAAAATTAATAATATATTTTTTAATCTTTTAAATAATATATTTATATACACACACATTAATATTTCTCCATTTTTAATATTTTTATTTATAAATAATACAATAAAGATAAAAATAATGATTAAATTTATAATAATTCTAATTTGAAACACAAGAATAAAATTTTAAACCAAATAGTTTGAAAAAAATGTAATAGCATTTGTTTTTTTAAATGACACTATTTATTTCAATAAAAAAAATTTCAAAATTGCTTTTTCATGCGCGAACGAAATAGGTTTTTTTAAGACAAATTGTTTAGGTAATAATGATATTAGATTATAGTTGGTACTTTAAT